GGGCTGTAAAGGAATAGTTATTAGTGTCTAATAGGTAGATGATGGGTGACTTTTATACATGGCCACAAAACATTTACTAATGTATACGTACATAACAGAATAGTGCAATCATAAAAAAATCTAAACAACAGGGTGATAGTGGTGCATGCCTTTAATCCCAGCACTCAGAAAGCAGAGGCAGGAGGATCTCTGTGAGTTCAAAGCCAGCCTGGTCTACAAAGAGAGTTCCTGGATGGCCAGTGCTGTTATGCAGAGAACACAGAGAAATCCTGTCTTAGAAAAACATAATAATAATAATAAAAACAACACAAAAGCAATAACAAGAAATCTAAACATATATTTAAATATTTAAAATAGAACTAAGTATTCAAAAGAACTAATAAAAAGCATATTTGTGGGCACAGTATTAAAAGATTTAGTTCTCACAAAATCTATATATATTACATATATTTACCTTAATTAAAAATATAAACACTTAAAAAGTTTAAAAGCTCTCAGAGCTACATAAGATTTAAAGCACATCTTTAAAAGTATAAAGAGAATAAACATTTTTTTCTAAAAATAACCTGAGAAGCCAAGTGAGGATATATAGATCATGACACACTAAGGCTTGTAAATCTAGGCTAATTAAGAATCTGTCCATAAAAGATTTACAGTGACCAAGAGGAATATGAGACGATAATGTCAGTAATCAGTGAAATGAAAGACAAGGCCATCAGGAGTGATCACGTCATACCTGTTACAAAGATCTAAAAATACAAAAGCAAGTTTTCACAAAGAATGAAGAAATTGGTATAATTCGTTCAGCATTGAGTGAAAGTGAAATGATAGGCACTGTGTTGAATAGTGCCAACAAATTAAGAACATTAGCACTTATGATCTAGCAATTCCATTTTGAATACCATATCCTGGGTAAATTGACCATGGACTCAATGTCTCAGAGATACTCATGTTCCCATATTTGTTGTAGTAATACTTACAATAGCCAGTGTCCATAAATACTAGTTTTCATAGGCAGATGAATAGATTAAAGAAACAAGGTATATATTGCATAGACTATGGGATGGTTAATGTCAATAGTTAACTTGATGGACTCTAGAGTCACCTGGCAGAGAGCTCTCTCAGCATTCCTTGGTAAGCAGAGGTAAGCAGAGCCACCTTAATTATGAGTGAGACCATTTCCTTGGCAGGGAATCCTGGACTGTATAAAGGGAACAAGTATGCATTCATCCTTCTCTGTGTCTTGACAGTGGTGCAGTGTGATAAGTTGCTTAAAGCCCTTAATGCCTTGAACCATGTACTAAAGTTCAGTCTTTTATCCTTTCTGATTTTGTCAGAATATGTTATTTCAGTAACAATAAAATGAACTAAGATAGAATACTAATTCAATCTTAAAAGGGCAAAATATCCTGGAATTTATTTCCTGAATGACCTGAAGAATCTATAGTAAGTAAAAAAAAAGTCAGCTGCAAAGGTAGCATATAGTCAAACTCAGGGAAGCAGAGAGCAGAATGATAACAAAGTGTTTGATTGAAGGTGAACCACTACAGCAGCCAAAGTTAACAATACCACATTGTACACTTGATTTTCATGGTGTAAGCTTGTTAGGTTGTTAACACACACACACACACACACACACACACACGCACACGCACACGCACACGCACACGCACGCGCACGCGCACGCGCACGCACGCACGCACGCACGCACATGCACACACATACACAGAAAGAGAAAAAACAGAGAGTAAGAGACAGAGAGAGAGAGAGAGAGGGAGTGGCTAGAGACAATGGAGAATCTTTTCTAAGTGTAATTAATGGCTGCATTTATTCTTTTCGTTGTTGTTGATGGTTTTCTAGGTCTAGGTTCAAGCCCACCAAACTGAAGATATAATTCACCTGTAGTTGACATAACAAATATGTCTCAAGAAAACTCTTTAAAAATTTTATCAGTAAAATCATCTAACTATATAATGGATGAATGACATTAAGGAATTTTTCACTCATTTTGCAACAAATTACAAAGTTAAAGCATTCTCAATTTGTTAGCTTCTACAGAAATGCAAATTAAAATTGCAGTGAACAATCACTGTCCATCATCAAAACAACTAAAAATAATAGTAATCATACTAGTAGGGATGTAAGAAGATGACATTAATCATATCTTGCTGGTAATGTTGTTAACAATACAGTGATTTGGGAAAATATTTTACTAGTTTCTTTAAAAATTAAATGCTCAATTATGATTTAATCTAGTTACTATATCAATGAACATTTATCATCATAGAAATAATCATTTATGTTTCAAAAAAACTAGTACATAAATGTTTATAGCAATTTCACTCATGTTAGCTACAAATAAAGTGGTGCAATTATGTTGCAAAGGGGACAAGTTTATCTTATTGATATCAAGAAATGTAGTGAGAAGAAATATTCTTTATTATACACTTTAGCCTAGATGGACCTCTAGAGAATTAAGTCTGAATGAGAATAGGAAATAAGTAAGTTTTACATGCTTTGTATTATATTTAAATCTCAACTTTGAAATGGCAAACATACAGAGTGGGATAAGATGACAGTCTAAGGAACAGGAGAAGTGAGGCAGGCCTGGCTACATTTAGATAAGGTGGAGGATCTTTCTGTAGTTGGGAACGAATGATGAATTCTTATGTTACTAAGCCTCAGTTTTTCACGTTGATGCAGATGGAGCATCTGTTGAAGGGCACATGGTATCCTTTGTTTAATTTCTTATAAATATATTTTAATATAGTTATCTCAATATGTAAAATATTGACCTTTTCCTTGTCTTGAGACTGAGTCTCCCTTTGTAGTTGTCATGAAAGTCACTAAGTACCCCAAGCTGGCTTTGAACGAATGGTAATCATCCTGCCTCAGGCTCTTGATTAGTGTGATAACAGATCTGAACCACCACACCCAAGTCAACAAATAAAGTGTAAATTAGAAAAGCAAAAAACACCTGTTCTTCAAAATTTACAATAAAAGAAATTTAAAAATAAGACTAAATCTAGATACATAAATGCTAAATCACATATAATACATTGTATCTATGTATATCTGATATGTATGAATGAAAAAAATAGCAATGGAAAGTTGACAAAGATTATAAACAAGTAATTCATGAAAGAAACTCCAAAGTCTAATAAACACAGAAATAGATGTGGAGGCTCATAAATATTAATGACACTAACTCACTTTATCATAGTTTTATGTCAAGTTGACAAAAGCTACAGTCATTTGAGGGGAGGGAACCTCAATTAAGAAAATGACTCCATAATGTCCAGCTGTTGGAAATTTTCTTAGTGATTGATGTGGGAGGACCCAGTCCACTGTGGGTGGTGTAATCCCTGGGCTGATATTCTTGGTTCTGTAAGAAAGCAGCCTGAGCAAGTCATGAAAAGCATCACTCCTCTACGGCTTCTGCAGTAGCCCCTGCCTACAGCTCCTTGCCCTGCTTGAGTTCCTGTATTGGCTTTGATGATGAACTGTGATGTGGAAGCATAAGCTGAATAAACCCTTTCCTCCCTAAGTTTCTTTGGTCATGGTGTTTCATAACAGTAATAGTAACCATAACTAAGACACATACTGATAATGTTTTCATTGAATGTTAATGGTGATATGAATGAGGAGGTGGTACATACAAATATTATAGGTAGAAATATAGTTTGGTAACTAAACTTTGGAAAATAAATTGCTATTACCTGATATAACTCAAGACTGTAAAGTCCCACTCTTAATTATCAAGAGATTTTTGCATAGGAAGTATGAAGATGATTATAATTTCATAATTAAAAAACAAGACAAAATTTCACACATTTCAAACAAAATTGGGAGAAAAACTAATAATAAAGTACAACATATTAATTTTAACACTATGTAGAGCTGAACATAAATGAACTGCACACCATGATATAGATCTTACCAACATATTGTCAACTAAAATAAAGGACTGGAAGAACACTGGCTATTTGCTGTGCGATGGTCTGTATGTCAAATTACTCTGATTGGTCAATAAATAAAACACTGATTGGCCAGTGGCTAGGCAGGGAGTATATGCGGGACTAACAGAGAGGAGAAAAGAAAGAACAGGAAGGAGAGAGGAGTCACTGCCAGCCGCCACCATGACAAGCAGCATGTGAAGACGCTGGTAAGCCACGAGCCATGTGGCAAGGTATAGATTTATAAAATGGATTAATTTAAGCTATAAGAAC